AAGGTAGTGTCAAAACAAAAAATGTCTTACTAAGCCATTAAGAAAGTCATGCTCTTCTTTACTGTCATGGTATGTAAACTTAAGTCTGAAGCAACAGAAATAAAAGTGCACAGTTAAAGGAGTTTTTAACTGAGAACGTACACACTTTGCTAGAATATCAGGTAAGTAATAGACATCAAGTGCATAACACATTAATTGCATAACCAAGAATTATTTCCTACAGCTTGCTGAACATACTTTCAGCAGAGTCAATGGCTGCTGCAATGTTTTCAATTTACTAAGCTTTTTTCCCAGTGATGTTATTTGTATTCGGCTCCCAGTCTGTATTCCAAAGTTAATATGAGTGTGTGATGTGTCCAAAGGTAATGTTATAAATGATTTTAAAGTGATTAACACAAGTTAGAAATCACTCTCATTCTAGTAATCAGTGAGAGTTCCGGTACTGAACGGATTTACAGCTACGAATGATGTGTTTATAGGCCCAGTGCCTAGACCCACAAACTCTTATGCTAAAAGTGTGTCCCAGTCACTCACAGTACTAAGATTTTCAAGCTACTCATTAAACTTTTCTTAAAGAGGGATGTCACAAAGCAGAAACAAAAATATTTAATATTTTTAATTTATATAAGACAGCCAATCACAACCCTACGTTGACATGAAATTGTCAGGCTTTAAGTAACTTTCTCCATGGTCCTCTTTCGTAAATCTTTTCTCTTAGAATTGCTGTAGTATAGCAAAGCCTGTAACATTTAAAAATCTCCCAAACTTTTACATCAGTCCCATACTGCAGACTTGTTACACTAACCAAAGGAGTTATATAAAATCATTCCTTCTACTCTTCATGGTTGAAAACATATGTTGATGGCAAAGTTTCTAAATACATGAGTAAGCTCAGGATTTCAACCCCTACTTCTTTCATCTTCAGTATTAGACTAACTATAATGATAAAATATGTTTGTGCCACTCTACTTACGTGTTTTAAATGATTTTACACTTAAGATTCGGCCATTTTTTAGGGCTTCTATTGTAATATCATACTTCTTATTTTCCTCAAGCAGAATTGTAGTACTGACAGGTTTCTGTTCAATTTTAGAAATGTTTCTTACATTCTGCAAGTTAAAAGAATTTCTGGATATAGTGAAAGTAATAAAAATGCAATTCATAAATGATGTATGAAGGGTAGCTTACATCGCAGCATGTCAAGGCTGCAGTTAAACTGCAAAAAACCCAACGCATTTAAACCAAAACCTTTTAGAAATCAAACTATTAAACAGCTTCATATTAAAATACCCATATTTTCTTTATGTTCCAGAACATCCAGTGCTCAAAATAAGAACAATGACCTCCCGCTGAGATCTGGGGGTAGTGTCTGTGCCTCTCCTGGAAAAATCAGACTCCTCCTTCAAACCACAGTACCTTGAAGAACTTGCATATTCTTAACTTTAAGCATATGCCTATCTATCATTCAACCAGGATACTCAAGAGTCTCTTTAGTCCCACTGGCTTCAATAGGACTCTGCAAGAGTGCACATAAATGATACGAATTACAGAATTTTAGAAAATTTATAATTTTTCCAAACCTTCTCTTTTTTTGCTATTTCACATTATATTTTTATAAGCAAACATATAATGCTATTAACTACTGGTATCTACAGCTTAAATACATATGGAACTACTTATTGCTTAGATTAACAAAATTTACTTTTTGACTGAAAGCATCTGCTCGCTGGTATGTTACAATATAATAGTCTGGATCCTCTCCTCTGGGCAATTCAGCCCACTCCATCAAAATTGCTCTAGCAGGCTTTTTCATTTGGCCACAGTCCAGACTCTCGGAACCCTGTAAGAGAAACATACGAATGCAATGTAGCAGACAATACAGAAAATGTACCTCTAACTAATTAAATCCTGACAAGTTCAACTACTTTTACCTAGAACTTGTCAGCTAGCAACAGTTCCTATATGAACCAGCATCACCAGCCCTACTGTGTGGCACACAGAGGCTTCATAATCTTGTACAAGTTCTGCAGGTACAGGTTCTACTTTTCTCTCTGCCTAGAGGCAGCCAAACCATGTTGGTTGACCTGAATATGCCCTACGAAGAAAAGTGTGTTATTTTAGACAAGAGGTTAGAGATTTCACTTGCAGTGTACATATTGCAATCACAGCAGTCAATCCAGAGTTGAAAGTCTCAGTCCTGTTCTCACATGACGTGGTAAGGACTCTAGTGGCATCACTTTCACAACTTCCCAAGAAACAACAGCATTCAAGAGGTAAAGAAATAATTTATTGAACAACTCCCTACCAATCCAATTTAGACGTGGCAGTATGAGGTTTGTTCAGAGTTTCAACTTCTTAAAGAAGTCAGTTCATTCTAGACACAAGTCTTTCATAGTTTTGACATATTTTTCATAGAATCATAGAATAGTTAGGGTTCGAAAGAACCTTAAGATCATCTAGTTTTGCCAGTACCTTTTTAATAACTACCTGCCTTTGAAGGACTTTGGCTTAGCTCATTAAAGAAGCAGGCTCCTTCTGTGTTTGAATTTCGTTTGGAACAGAAACTCACAGGCCGCTTTTATCTGACAGGATATAAACCTGAATCAGCTCTAAAATTGAGGGAAATTGGGGCATGTGATGCCAATTCCTACCACATAACATTTCTTAAAATACTGCAGTTCTTTCTTTTAAGTTGTAGTTTGAGTTTCTTTATGAATTGAGGTGACAAATACCATCATTTAGCAATGAATTCAAAATGTAGTTCAAGAACAAAAAACGAAATACCAAATCCCAAAAGTCAAATAGGGACCCTAGTAAACTAAAATAAAAGTTAGGACTTTTATTATTATATTAATTTTTGTTGTCCTGTAAAGCAATCTACCACACACCAAAAAAAAAAAAACAAAAAAAAAAAAAAAAAAAAACAAAAAACAAAACTACAAACAACCCCAAACAAACAAACCACCATAAAAACAAAATCACTCTGGAGGTCTGTTTGGTTTAAAGTAACTTCCTTTAACTAATGCCAAACTAACATAACTATAAATCTGCCAAGATCTTAATGTTTAAAGTTTAGATCATACTTTAAAAAGCATAAACTTTATATAAGTTTATAAATCCTTTTATCTCTATACACTCTTCACAACTGGGTACATATAACCTCTTGGAAGTCCCTGAACTGATATACCAAACTAACATTGATGTCATACACAAAAGTGTTTAAGAAGCACTTTTCCAGGGAAAAGTAGCAGGCTTTTAACTAATGGGTGTATAGTTGGCTTGCGTTCTCCAAAAATAAAGGGCAGGAAAATCTGGTTTTAAAGAGAATTAAAAAGTATATTTGCCAGTAATCGAATTAACCACTTCTAATACTTTTCCACCATCACAAATATGATTAAACACACTCTGGTCAGATCTGTTGTTATCTCAACCCCTCGAGCCCCACGCTGGGCGTCAAAAGAAACTGTCGTGGTTCAAGCCCAGCCAGCAACTTGGAA